TAAAAATATTTTCTAGCTTCCTGTTCGTTCCATTGCTCTTTCGAGGGGATAACTGACTTGATCGTCCCGTACGAACATGGTTCGTCCCGTACGATTAGTATGAATTTTAAAGATCTCCCCAAGTATGTGTGTACTAAGTTACTTAATTACAATTACTCCCTCTCAAACTCAATACAATGAAAGTACAAGCTTCAATTTACAAATTATCTCATGCTGAATTTTGATTTGAAGTCTTCATTAGTCCGGAGTTCGATTATCCTGAAATGTTAGTCCACACAAGAGCAAAAATAATTCTTCTACAAAGTGTTAGGAGAAAACAAAATTTTAAAATAATAATATTTGGAATCATCAAAACTTTATAAGTTGCAAGAATGTAAGACATGCAAATAGTAACTCTTTTAACATACAAATGATGAGTAGATACATATGATGCAACACATGATAAATATTTCAATGTCTCTTCTAATGGTGATGACCGATCAACATGTGAAGATTACAGTTCTCTACAAATGTTGCAAGTTAACATACAACAAACTTATTGAAGCTGCTCATAAGCAATGATATAAAATTCACAATGGGTACCAAAAATTGTCATGATTGGTTGAAGTACAAGCAACAATGCAAACTCTCAATAGACATAGAAGCTATGCCAACCAATACACAAAAGTTGACAAGTAATAAGTGACTTGCAATACATATAAAATAGATCACCTATGAAGGGCAATAATACACGTACGATTAATGTGAAAGACTCCTTTCAGATACCGACAAAAAGGTATGATGAGTCTTACAAATACCTATATATACCCAAAGAGCTATCTATAAGCAAAATATAGAGTTGTAGTAAATGCAAACATTGGTAGATGGTACAAAAAAAATATACACTCAATGCATCTTGCCCACATGTAACAACAGGAAGCATAAGCAAAGAGATTACAGTCAATGTAGAAGAAGATGCAGTATCCGACAGTCAGCATCAATTTGTAAATAAACACAATGATATTCCCAAGCAAAATATATACTGATCCGTTGTAATTAAAGATAGAAGATATACAATAAATGTAAACTCGTATAGCTCACTATAAAAGACCCATCATGCACTTAACCCATCAGCTATGAGCTACTGTAGGAAACCCTACCAAGGATTTAATGTATGGTCCATAAGTAAAATACAAGGGGACTACAAATCAAATACGAGTTTCTAGGAGGTGCCATGGAAGACCTATCAAATATCCTAAAATGTCATTACACATGCACCATAATATGTATACAATAGGTACACTAAAGGGGCATATATAGCCAAACACCCGCATGGGCCCCGAAGAGAGTGTTATGGATACACACATGATGTCAAGGGATGTTGCACGGGTCAATAAATGAACCACAGTTCAAGCCCGACCCTTCTATGTAGGTAGATAGGAGTTGATAACGCTCAAAGTATCAAACAGATATACGGTCAGAGGGTTGACTGGGATATCAATTTCATACATTCATATAAGGCCTTCAAGTCCTCCAAAAAAGAAAATTCATTAACAAAATCACAAAGCCAATAACTAACCCGATCCTCTATTGACAGCTCGACAGAGTTGACAAGGTTCAGTTCATAAATGGAATTGACCCCAAACACCCTGATGATGGCCGTGTTAAATGTAGATCTCAACTAGAGGGGTTAATTTTAAATATTTTAAAATACCCTCAAACTTCCACAAAATTTAAATATTTTTCAAGTGACCTCAAAGTCACCCCAATGATGGTTATGTTGAATGCATATCTCAATCGAAGGGGTTAATTTTAAATATTTTAAAATACCCTCAAACTTAAACAAAATTTTAATATTTTCAAGTGACCTCAAAGTCACCTTAATGATGGCCATGTTGATTGCAAATCCCAACAGGAGGAGACCATTCCAAATAATTCAAAATGCCACTTGAATACCCAAAATTCAATACTCCACAAAACAAAAAAATCATAAAGTCCCAAAAATATTTAAAATTCAAAAAGCAACCATCCAAACACTTCAAACAAAACTCATCCACCCTCCGTGACAGTTTACTGAGGTGAACAAATTGAAAACTACTTCAACTCATATAGAGTTAATGTCTAGTTGAAAATATCACTAAGATTTATTCTCAAATAATCTTCTATTAGTAAGGATGTGGTATGTGCCATCTGACCGACAGTTTTGCTGCCAAATGACATCGCAGGATACATGGTTATATCCTGGGGCCCTCTGAACCGAGTCGTTTTGCTGCCAAATGGTACAACGAGGTAACAGTTATGATCAGAGCCAATATGTTCTTTAGTGGCATCAAATCCTTGAGATATGTATTAATGAGATATAATTGATAGAGCACAAAGCACTATGTTTACAAAGGTGGATTCAAATTTGTCCCCTTAGACAAACATCTACTCTAGATCTACAAGATACCCTTTGACGAAGCAACCACCCATGACTGCCGACAAGGATCATTCTGTCAGGTTGGGTTGACTACCTCCTCTGACTAAGTAGACCAAGGACCATGATGACAAGGGACGACGGAACCATGGGATCTTGATTGGGTCCATCATCACCCCCACCATATGCTTTGAGTGCAAGATGGTGAAATTTTCTAATTTTAAATATCAACCCTCAAATACCTAAGCCCATGCTACTAGTATATACTAGATAACACGTATTCTCTACTTATCTGATCGACGACTCGCCTTAATCGAAAGTTCTCTCTCGTTATCGGGAGGGGTAATTAACTATAGAGCCTTGCGCCTATATGAAACCATAACTCAGATCATAAAGTCCTCACAAAATGATGGCGAAATATCTGGGTAGTGTCTTATCTACAGTCCCATCTACTTTCCAAAATTTACCCCAGAACTTAATTCTGTTAAAACACCCCCGAAAAAGCAGTGGGGGAGGTCGGGGCTGAATTCAGAGCCCACACAAGTTTAGTAATATTTCCCATAACCTTCCTTCATTATTAATTTGCATGGAAGATGCAAAGACAAGGTTTTTTGAGTACTCATTTCCAAACATTTTTCTAGTGTACTTCATGTTACATAAATTTTTTTAAATATTTTTCATAGTTTTTATTTTTATTACCATAGGTGCAGTCATTTGATTTTTTTAATCCTTATATATATATATATATATATATATATATAACTTGAATCCAAATAACTTTGAATGTGCGATCCTTTTTTTTTGGGCCAGTTTGGGGAATCGAACGGGAGCCGCGGGAGTCAACTGCACTGCGCTCAACCACGGAGCTGCACTGCGTATCCCTAAGAATGAGCCACCCTTGAATTTAGGGAGATTTTTTATTTAGGGTTAAATAAAATTTAAACTACCAAAAAAAGGGTTACTTAAATATATACCATCCAAATTTTACATTTTTATAAAATTAATACAAAAATATATTCATTTATAATAATATCATATAAATCTTTAAGGAATACAATAAAATATTGACTTGTATATCTTCTCTTTTAGTGATATCTAAAACTTTGCAGTAACATATCTTTGTGGTTAAATTTAAGCTTCATTTGGGACAACTTTTGATAGTTATTTTTTCACAGTTAAAAAAAAAAATTATACTAAAAAACTACTCTATAAAACAACAAAAAAATTATCCCAAACAAAGCTTTAATGACGTGTTAGAATTACCCTCAATCTAAGTGAGACTTTGGTATCTCATTATAAATTCTTTATTTGTTGTCACTAATTAATTAAACAAAAATATATATTTGATTACTTTTGTCTTATTATATAAAGCAAAATATTTTGGTCTTTCACGGTGTGGGACAAAAAGCTTTTTTTTTTCTTAGGCGAGAAGGCTTTACATAGGCGGCGGGACATGGCATTTATTTTTTTTTTTCAGGCTTAGTCTTTTTTTTTTCTAAGTTAATAATTCTAATTAATTAGTTATATTACTAAAAATATAAGTTAGAGATATGTCTAATGTACACTATTAAAATAAAAAAATATTAAATTAGTAAAAAAATTACTAAATTAGTAGATTTAATTGTATTTATTTTTAAAACTCTAATTGATCCTATATGATTTTCCTTTAGATTTAAATATTTGAATTTATTTGGCTAACATTTCACTATTATATAAGTAAAAGTATTATAATTTTTTTTTTCAATTTTTGTTATATATTTATAAATAATTGTGTCATTATTATAATATTTAAATATAATAAATATTTATTACGTCATCCGGTTCTACCCCAGTCGAACCATCAAACCTCTAACCCCTCCTTCTTCCGGTTCATTGACCGATCCGGTTTTAAAAGCCTTGACTTTTTTATAAAAAAGCTGTTTTAGCAAATCAATGAAATTTGTTAGCTTTTATTTTATCTTATATAATTAGAAATTAATGTGAACTTTAGATCCTTTAAAATTAAAGAAACTGATTTCACATATAAAATGAAAAAAAATCACACCAATGTACATAAATCGTAATCTCATCCATTCAAGCCTGTTGGATAACGACAGCTTTTGACTACACAACTAAGTAAGTTGCAGGCAATGACAAGCTTTAACTTTCTAAGAAGAAAACAAATCTAATAAATCAGAATCCAAAGTACATCCTTCCAACATGGTAGAGATGCTACTTAACAGAAATTTTAATTGTTTAGTTAAAGAAGTTAATATGCAATCAAATGAGAATCATTTTCAATAAATTTGTTAATAGTAGAGTGAAACTAATACAAAAAAGCCCACTGCAACTGTTTACAACAGCTTAGGAAGCTTACAGTTAAACTTTGTTTGGGATAGCTTTCTTCCTACTACTTAAAACAACTTTTTAGTAGAAAAATTAAAAATTTTGTACTAAAATGTCGCTTTAAGAATAAATATAAAAGTCGTCCCAAACGAAGCCTTAATGAATTGATAAAATTCATAATCTTGATAAGCATGTCAACAACTAACTTGAAATCACTCAAACACTGAAAATTATTAAGGAAAAAAAAAAACAATGCTGTGAAATCCTAAGATAACTTTACATCAGCAGATAACTAGTTAGAACAAGAAGAATTGCCATCACTGAACAAAGATGCGAAGGCAGAAGTGAGCTTCCTGAGCCATGATCAGTAACATTCCTGCAGCATTTAAGCAAAAAGATTAGTAAATATTTGACAAGATTTTCTACATAGATTGAAGTTAAGCAAAGGAGTGATGAGATAATCAAACTTACTTTGGCCAGTAAGCTTTGCCACAGTACAGTGCATTGCTGGGAATAGGTAACTCAGTTCTGTTATTAGGTTCTGGATTTACTATCCTTAAATAGGTTTCTTGACCAAGATACCACCTTTCTAAAGAACCTGCACGAAGGTTCCAAATTCCTACATTGTCAAGCATCACAAGAATAGCAGTCCATGCTCCTGGGTACACCTGAAAGAGTATTACATTAGAAACGCACTTTTATTTATGAGATAAAAGTTCTAATGGAATCCAGCATTATATATTTGTAAGTTTTGCTGATGCATATACTAATTGGTGAGTTAGATATTTAGTAAGATTTTTAGTGTCACTTTATGAAGACAAAAACATTGATGACTTTGGTCTATAAATAGGGAGCAAGTTGATAGGAAATACTTGAGTTCGCAAGTAATCCAAGAGTAAATATTTGAGTTCGCAAGCAACCCTAGCAATAATTGATAAAAATAGCGAGAAATCACACAAGAACGTGATGAAAACAACCCAAAATCAGTGGATTGTATTAGGGAAATCCAAAGCAAAACAAACACAAAGCAAGATACTATTGATCCTTAATTTGAGAGGAGGATTGTTCTCTTCAAATCTCTAGAAGAAGTTCTAGAACCCAAGACACCAAGAGAAAATTCCAAAGAACACAATAATCATGCATAACCCTAACTCTAAACAAGCCTTACTATTAATACAATAATTCCCTAATTCAAAATTTCCCTCTCACCCTAGCCGCCCAATCATCTCTTCCTAATTTGCTCCAAGTGGGGCCCACTCATGTGGGCGGCAAGCTTCAAAGGAAGCGGACATGTTCCACCTCCTGTATACTTGAGCCGGCCGATGGGCCGGCTGGGCCGGTTCAGGATGAACCCTAACACAAGTCCAAAAAATGTACGAGAAAAATAGTACTTCAGTTCTAGTTCAGGCAACTTTTAGTCAGCTCTAGATCCATTATGACTTGGTGGTTGTGCGTTTGAATTATAAAAACAGTATCTTTGCTATGTGGAGGAAAAGCTGGGTATGATGAGATCGACTTCACCATTTTCAATCAAGTATTTGGATAAAGTTCAAATTGAGGTATTTCTACCTGGATTGTGCTGCGTGCAACAGCATCCCATTTGTTATAAGAATTTCTACAAGCTTCAGTCCATTCTCCATACGCAAACCTAAAATATTCATTCTAAATTCCATCAGAAAAAGAAATCAAGAGGGAATAAAAAATTAAATCCATATTTAGAGAAGAAAGAAACATACCCGACAACAAAAAATGAGTATCCATCCATGTGATAAGTTTGAACTATGCTGTCATTATTCTGAAACACAATCTCAACAAAATCTTTGTATGTTGAATTGATCACTGATGCAGCTATTCTTGGAGCTCCAGGAAAAGGTTTCACAGGGAAATCAAGCTTGTAAACACCTGTAATATTTGCGAAGTTGTCTGCGAGTCTTAGAGGTGTATCAGGAGAGATGTAAGAGACATCATTGATTGTAGCTCGGAGTTTTCCATTAATGGAGATTGGTGCTTTATTTCTTAGCACATAAGTTTCACTGATATTGATGGAGCCAATCTTGAATGAGCCTTGGGGATTAGGCCTTGCAGCACTTGCAGATAAATTCCACCTGCAGAGATGAGTACAGTAGATGTTGTTGTGAGAATGATTTCAACACATGAAAGTAATAGATTTAATCTTAGCTGTTTAAAAACAGTTTTAACCATTAACATATCATAATACATCTAATAACTATTTCATTTACATATTCTAATAAACAAGAACAAAAAAGTAAAAGTAAAGTTCAAGCACAAACCTGATAGATCTTGCTTGATTCATAGAGTACTCTTTGAAGAAGAGATCATTGGGCGGATCAGGAAGAGGCCCAATTGGTTTATTTTTTGAGCTAGAATAATGCAAAACTGCGACGCCTGTGACTCTACTCCAAAGAGATCCATTCATGAATCGAGAGCTCGCAACAATATAATAATCATTGCTTGAGTTTTGATCCATTGTGATGAGGAAAGAGTAGGATTGTCCGACATGAATGTCAAAGTCTGTGTAGTTTTGTTGTACAGTGTAGGAGCCTTCTGTTTCCACAAGAAGAAGGCTATGGGACTGTATTCTGAAGTTCAAGCTTGTGAAAGATCCAACATTATGTACGCGGAACCGATATGTTTTACCTATTTGACAAATTGATCAGGTTGGAGAGGTTATTAAGAAGTTAAATAAAATCATAGCAATAAGTTTGATCTTGTTCATGTTAAGAATGGAAATGAAAGATTTTGACCCTCGTTAGGCTTAGTTTGGAATAGTTTTTTATTGCTTTTCTTTTTCTTATTGTAATCATAATTTTTGTTTAGTCATTAATGTTTTGCTACTTAAAAAAAAAAAACAATGCCAACAAGCAGTTTGTTTCAACCGCTTTCAAAAAAATTACTTTCTCCACAGTATTTTTACAACCACTATTACAATAAGCTACTGGTATCTCAAACAGACCCTAAGTTCAGATTTTAGAGATAAAACTAATGATAAATGGCACCTTTGAGAAATGCATCACAATAATTCAACAAATTTTAAGAGAAAAACATTGCCTCTCTTTTCATTTAGCTTCCATAACACACTAGTTTCAATTCAACTAAGAAATAATTTGTTATAATCCGATAAGCATGCCAGCCTAAAATATTGTCTTAATTCTTAGTTAATCTGGAATTATCTATAGGCCTTATCCAGTTTTATACTAAAATATTTTTTAATTATTATTTCTCTTAATTAGTTTTGGCCCACAAGGCTTTCTTATTACTCAGTGAAATCAACTTGTTAATAAAATGCTATGATGATAAGCATTCAGAATCAGAAGCAAGCGCCACAGTATATTGTAGCAGAAGACTTTGGAAATGATTGGATTTAAAATTTAATTTCATTATGAAATAAAATTCAAATTTTAAAATTCAAATACTAACAAGTTCTAAACACCTAAAAATTTACCGGTTCAATCAATCAAACCAAACGCATAATTTTCTAAAAATGCAAAAATTTTATTGTTCTTCAAAAGATTAGAGATTACCAGGCTCAACATTAATGGTTTCATATTCAATCCCAGAAGGAAGTACTGTGTTGTTATATCTATAAGGTCCTTTGCCATTAATCAGCACTCCATCAGGAATCCCAAGTTCATTCCCCTGATCAAGCTGCTGCTTCAAATCCTGCACTTGCATCAAAAATCCCCAAAAGCATTCAAATAAGTAAACTGTAAATTCAATAATAATTCTAATAAAATCTTATTATAATCAATTTTCTCCAACCCTGTGATTCTTATTAAACCAGTCACCAATAAAAACTGTAATGTCGCCGCCATCTGGCAACGGGAACGGTAGCGGCACGACGCTCCGGTTGTCGACGATAATGCCACCATAACCTCCAGCTGCTCTCTGCAGATTGAGAGAAGGGAAGTAGTAGAAACTCCCAATTTGATCTTTAACCTGGAAGTCATAAGTCCAGTTCTCACCCTTTGGGATTGGGCAGTTGGTTCCCAAAACTCCATCTTGCCATGAGTTTCTTCTCAATTGAATCCCATTCCTTAATGACAAACAATAAAGAAATCAATCATGAAACATTAAAAAACTAAATGAAAATTTAATTTAAATGAAAGAAATCACTAACCAAGTGAATAGTAAATCTTCATCCAGATTATTTGTGACATTCACAACTGCATTCCAGTTAGTAGTTACCTGGAGAACCGGGCCTGGGAACTGACCGTTGATAGCTATCACCTGTTTAAAAATATATATATTAGATTCTCTGCAATGTAACCATCATTAAACATAAAATCTTAAAGCGTTCAAATAATATCTGTTGTTTTTGGATTCGACTCTCTTCGCAAGCAATTTGGTAAGCCAAAACTTTCTGAATATTACTTATAAACTTCAAATTTTCATCAAAAAAAGTGAGAGAGAGTAGATATTACATCAGAATATGGTGATGAAGGATTTTAAAATTCTTATCTCAATCGTTGGAACACATGAGAAAAATGATAAGAGTTTAGGATTTAAGACCTGTTGGGGAACACCGAGAGGGGAGGCCGTAATATAGGAGACTTGCCAGTTGAACTGGCGAATCGGGTCGGCAGCAGAGCAGAATCTCAGTAACAACAACGCTGACAACAATACTACCGCCAGTCGCCATTGACGCGAGGCCATAAAGCTCTGTCTCTCCTTTTCTCTCTCTATATAATCTACTTGGAGGTTGTCGGCTTCACAATAATGGCGTTGAAGAAACTGATACGACTTGGAAAACAGACAGGCGATAGGGATGAAGAGAAAGACGAGATAAGTTTGTAATTCTATTTTAGGCATTTATAATAAGTTTTTAATTTTATTTTATTTAAAACATTTTGATAGCAAGAAGAAGAGGAGGAAGAAGAAGAGGCAACACAGAAACAGAGGAAATAACGGCGATTTGGGATTTGCAAATATGCAGCGTATCTTCGAGCGTTGTTTTTTGGAAAGTAAAGAATTCATCAAACTATGCGGAGAATTTTCAATAGATGGTAATAGTTAAATAGATAATCAATACCTTCCAAATTTATTTGCTGCGCGGGAGCGCGCACGGCACGTTAATCTATGCGGTAATTCTGCGATGGCTAACTTTTATGTTAAATTAATGAAAATTCTAATCTAATTATCAGAAAATTGGGTTAAAGAGATGAATTTAAATGTCATTAAATTTCTTTTAAAATTAGTATAGGTAATTCTTTACGCTAGTTATTTGCCACATTAATAGTTTTGGCTTAATTGGAAGGAGGCAGCACTTGCTAAGATTATCGATTTGGATTGATGGGTTGGATTTGAGTCTGATCTAAGTTGATCTGGGTGATCTAAATTTGTCCTATTTATCTTAGAAATCATAGTATTTAATCTGAACCCGACTGAATTGAAACCTAACCAGTTTGACCCATTTTTTCATATGGATTATATAAATTTTTTTAATCAACATGACTAGTTTAATCTAAATACGAATCTTGTAACATGAATTCGACCAACTTAACCCGAACTCAAATAATAATCAGATCAATTTTGATTTTTTGAGGTAACATGATCTCGACCTAAAAATTAATCGGATCAATATTAATGACCCAAGCCCTACAAAGAAAATTAATCGACTCAACTCAAATCTAAATTTTTTGAGTTGGATTAGATCATCTATTACTAATTCAAGTTGATTTAGATAATATGAGTATTTAAAAGATTTATACAAGCATATAATTCATCCCTAAATTGTCCAAAGAAAGGGTTGTCATAATGGGTCGAGGTTCTCGAGCCATGATGAGACGAAACAATCACATTTAGAGTAGATCAAATCATCATAACAGAATATGATTTGGTTCACATCTCATCTTGGTCTGTTGGTTAGAAGCTTTGGCTATCACCTAAGAGGTTTTGGGTCCGAACATTGAGCAGTTGATGTTTGTATGTGTTTGCCTTAACTGACATAAATGTCAAGAAAAAAAAAAAAATCTATGATTCGATGTAATAATGAAATGGAATAAAATCAATTGGACCGATTTTATATGTCGACCTGAACTATTTTAAAAGCACAGTGCTCAACATCTAATCGGTTGTTTCTATTTATTATTACTGTAAATCGGTTCATTATTGTATGTGTTTGCCTTAACTGACATAAATGTAAAAAAAAAAAAATCTATGATTCGATGTAATAATGAAATGGAATAAAATCAATTGGACCGATTTTATATGTCGACCTGAACTATTTTAAAAGCATAGTGGCTCAGCATCAAATCGGTTGTTTCTATTTATTATTACTCTAAATCGGTTCATTATCAGATTATTCTTTTTTGGCTTGTTTTAGTATCGATGGGGCCATTTGATACGAATTTAGTTAGAATTATTAAAAAAAAATAATTCGGCTTTGCACGAAAAATCTGAAAATAAGAAAGTGACAAATTTATAAATGCATATATTGTTCTAAAAATCATTTGAAACCGGGTTTAAAATTATTAGGTATTATAATATGTGCAATAATAAAATATTTAATATTAAAAATTTCTATACAAATTTAATATACATATAAATAGTGATAATTATAGTTGAAAATTTTTGAAGAGATAAATTATTTTGAAGAGATAAATTATCATAATTCACTATAGGATTAAAGATAAAAGAATATGTTCTTCTTTAATAATTAAACAAAAAGGGATTACACAACAGTGATAATTATCAGATTTTTGTCAAAGCGATATGAGAGTTGGAATATCTATAAGATTAGATGCTAGAAGTCAACCAACAATAATCAGATGATCGTGGAGACGATTGTTGATGATTGTCATCGACAATGATTATTAGCAAAGACAATAGAGTTCTTTAACTCTGTCAGTTGTCGAACCTCTTTGATATATAAAATCAAGTCATATTTATAATTTTTTGAGAAGAAAATTTTGATAAAATTTGATTAGAATCCAGAAAGTTCAATCGAATAATTCATAGTGATCACATAGATCAAATATTATTTATCCACTATTTGTTATGGTACTAATGTTAGAATTGAATGATCTTAGCTCATTGGATTTGTCTCATCTAGTCATATCTAGCCATTCAATTTGACTATCAAAGCAATATGAGAGTTGGAATATCTATAAGATTAGATGCTAGAAGTCAACCAACAATAATCAGATGATCGTGGAGACGATTGTTGATGATTGTCATCGACAATGATTATTAGCAAAGACAATAGAGTTCTTTAACTCTGTCAGTTGTCGAACCTCTTTGATATATAAAATCAAGTCATATTTATAATTTTTTGAGAAGAAAATTTTGATAAAATTTGATTAGAATCCAGAAAGTTCAACCGAATAATTCATAGTGATCACATAGATCAAATATTATTTATCCACTATTTGTTATGTTACTAATGTCAGAATTGAATGATCTTAGCTCATTAGATTTGTCTCATCCAGCCATATCTAGCCATTCAATTTGACTATAAATATGTGAGATTTAGAGATCATTTTGATCATGAATTTTATTTTAAAAGCTTTTTATTCAAATATTACCTTAAGATTATTATCAACTAAGTGAATTTTCTAAAGATATGTTATGTTCCCCCTATTTTCAAACATTGAACCTTAAGTCATCATAAAATATATGTTAAATCATTGAAAAATTTTGCAATGCAAATTATAAATTTTGAAAAATCACAAGGTGTAATCGCTACATGGATTTCAATATGGGCATCTCCTCAAGGTCGTGAGGAGGTTGAAAAAATATAAGTATTATCTCTTTAATTATGAATTTTGCTTTGCATGATGTCTCCATATCTATTAGAGTAAACGTTATTGAAAATATTTTCTTCGGATTTTTTAAATTTGTTTGGAATTAATTATAAAATATCTATTAGCCTCTAAAATTTGAAAAAAAGTGATTTCATAACATTAAAAAATGATTATGAGAATCTAAAAAAGGTCGAAATAGGTCTATTAGGCCCAAAGTGCTATTTTTTTTTTTGAAAGCTATAAAATTTGTTGCTCCCCCTTAAATTTTAAATACCTTCTCACATGGGGGTAGGGGAATTTGCTCCTTTTGTCCCAATAAGTTCCAACTCTCTCTTAAGGAATATTTCACATCATATATAGGCAATATATAATTTCCTATTTATAGGCTCCCTTATGAAACTGTAATGGATAGGCAATGTGTATCCCCTTTAGATGCTCTAGTGCTCCTCCACCAATAATAATGAAGATCCTTTAGTGTTCTGAATAAAAAAAAATCAAATTTCTCAATTTTTTCTTTATAAGTTTGGATTCCATCTCCTAAAAGAGGCTCAACACTGTCTTATATAAGCAAAGCATTATTCTTTTATATGTTCGAATATTTTCTCTATCATGAGTATCAAACTTTCCTACAAACATAATTATGACACCCAATATTATCAATCTCTATAGTGGAGCTTTAATCTTCCTTTTCATGGGGTTTGAATTCCTTTATTTAGAAGGATTAGGATATAAAAAGAGTTTTTTCACCCCATTTTGAAGCTTTTATTTTTTCTCAAATAAAGAGATAATTACTATCAAAATTAGGAGTAGCTAATGAAAGAAATGATGTTTAATGGAGTATGAATTTTAACTTAATATCAACTTTAGTGTTAACATTGGTGGCATAGAGTGCCAACGTTGACAATAAAGCCATTGAAATCACTAAATATAGACAAGATAAAAAATTTCACCTTGCATCAAACATTAAGAGGGGAGAGACAACACATTAAAATTTGATGCCTGAGTTTAGTATTTGATTTTGAAATTTATATTTTTTTGTACTAATATACACACTTTATTAAAATTCACATTCAACTCATAAGAAGTAATGAACTCCCATTCAAAACTTGCCCCTAGAGGTGGTAGTTTTTGTATATATTTGAGATGAACTTAAAATATTTAAGCTCAATATATCTTAGTTGAATATTTGAGTTAACAATAAGATATTTAGTTCTAGTAATAACTTAATTACTTCACTTTCTTAGTTGATAAGGAACTTTTGAGACTTACTCCATCAAAAAATATTTTTAAGAATGTATACCTTTTGGATAAAAGAGACTTATACCTTAGGAGGCTTTTAGCCTTTTGAGAGACATGTATCTTCTTAGATTTTTCCTTCTATGATTTTTGGATATACGCTTACCTTTAAGGGCTTTTGTCTTATGACATTATTAGGTTATCTGCATCTTATGATGTTTATTCCTTTTGAGGTATTTGGTATACTTTTACATTCTACGACTTATGCCTTAAAAGATATTTAGTGTGCCAATACCTTGTAAGACTTTTAACTTTCTGAGTTTACGATATATTTAAACCTTTTGAGGCTTTTTTCTTTTCATATTTCTTATGTACATGTGCCTTCTAAGGCATTTATACTTCTAAGGTTTTTGGATGAGTAGAGATCCTATCAACCACATACTCTCATAGAGTCTTTCTTGTGAGGCCATGTCCACTACTAGTTTCTCATTAAGGAAAACTCAAGGGTATGCCTTTTAAAGACAATAGGTGGAGATCTTGTCTTCTATTTTCCCTCATAGAATCTTTTAAGTGAGGACCCAATCGACTACTAGCTTCCCTCAAGGCTACTTCATAGGTGTGCCTTCTAGGGGTTATGGTTAGTTGTAATATTGTTTATCAAAAGAAGGATTCATT